AAAGGTGCTAGCCCTCCTCCAAAAATATATTTGGCGGTTAAACTTTCCTGAACCTCTTCATTTTGGTACCCATACTACTATATTCAATTTATCTTATCAATTAAAATAAATTTAAATTTTCACAAAGGTGGCAACCTTCAGCAAAAATATTTTCGGGTGTAAGTCTTTTTAAACCTTTTCCTTTTGACAGCTATATTGTAATATTTATTTTGTCAATGTACTTAAACTGCAACCTTCAAACAGGTGGCAACTCTCCAATTTTTTTTCTTCCTATATTTTAAGTTAGACCTCTAGCAATACATCGGGGCCGACCGATGAAGAGCTGGACTCAAAAAACAGGGCCAATAAGTTTATGGCTGAACATCAGGCGAAAGCGAAAGCAGAATTCGCAAAGGGAGCGCTCAATGGAGAAGTACTCAGAGTCCAAAAGGAAAAAATATTCTGGAATATCTACAGGGAAATCCTTGGTAAAACCTAGGAGTGCTAGGCTAGAACCACCTCCCAGCTACGCAGATGCCGGTCAGTTCCCTTGACCTTGCATAAGTGAGCTCTGGCAGGGAATACGTCTCGATGTAGCCAAGCGGTAGGACATTCCCAATCGGCAAAGATCCAGACTAACAGAAAGTGCTGGAATTAATATTTATGGTCAACCCCGAGCTAACTACCCATAATTAGATGGTATCAAAGATAGCCGAGATCGACGGAAAATGAATGCTTGCGCTGATAGTCCTCAACGAGAAGTCAATAGCACAGCTTGCTAAAAAGAACTGAAGCATAAATTATGACTTCCAAGGCCTGATGAGATCAGTCGAAACAGCACTCTACTTCCCAAAGAATAAGACCTAGCTGCCTTCAAGGACATCGAGAGTGTTTTCAATAACGATGTATTTCCAGGATCTCATGCGTAATGCCTTCTGGAACCGATATTATTATTCTGAATTCAATATGCTTATGATCCATGTAACTATACCGTTAGGAAGATCTTCTTTCCATGGCCTTGAATTTTGCTTGAATATCAAGGAACTCGCGAAGGGCTATCTGCTTATACAGGAATGCTTTTCCAATTATTTACCTGAGTTAGACAAAGTACCCATTGCAATTATAGCAGATTTACCTGATGTAAGTTAATAATAATTATCAAATTTTACCAGATTTTAAAAATGTACCAATTTTGAAAGTAATGTACCAGTGTACCAAACTGGAAAAAATTTACCAAAACTGGTAAATTTCGGCCAAAATGCCAACCGTGACCACGCGCCTTCTAGACGATCTCATTCAGCGCAACATGGTGGGTACCTTTATATGTGGGGGCGTGGCGCTGCCCTTTTTTCAAAATTACTACTGCTACTACTTTTCCCAGTGGGCCCCATGAACCTACTGTAAAAGTTTCATAAAGATTGGTACAGTACTTTGGCCGCCTACACTGAGGGAAATAATGCATAGTAAAAATGAATACTTTATATTTGATTGTCGTTTAAAAATGTTCGTATTTAAAAATAATATTTTCATACAAAATTTATTACGCACGTATTTGACTGTTCACATCTGAGTATGTATATGTAAGTGTACATACGCACCCCAAGCATGCAGAGCGCCGCACTGAGAGCGGTGACGAAACACACATACACACATAGCAAGAATGGTAGAATGAGAGTAGAATTCTCAAGAATTTCTGTCAATCGTGCATACATAGTACATACATATTTATCCGGACAAATCGCGTTCTTTGGTGTTGATGGATATTCAACATTTGAAAGCAAATTTATATGACTGGGTGTAGCTGAGTGCGCAAAGATGCTTGCCACAAGTTGTTGGTATCCGGAGATGGTCGGGTTCGAATTCCGCTGCAGGCAACATGCAAATAAATTTTTTTTTTAGTTTTTTCTTGATTATTCACTTCTCGGATGCTTTTTCAGTACGAACGCGGTCATTTTAATATGCGCGTAATTGAATTGAATATTTACCGATATACAGTACTTTCGTTGACGTTTATAGTAAGATCAATTACGTTTCTATTTGATTTTAATATTTTTTTCCCTCAGTGTACAAAAGACACACACACACACAGTTCGGAAATATGAAAGATGACTTAAGATCGGGACCCCAAACTCTAATATTTTACAGGTTCGCTCTTTATGTAAATTCAGCTCTCAAGAACAACAAAAAATTCATATAAAATGACGCACAAGAGATGGAAGAGACATTTTCTTCTATTCAAATTTTTTAAATCAGTTTGCAGCTCTCAAGAAAAAAAAGCTCTTGTATTTATTTCTTCACGAAAATTTAGAGCAACAGCAAAGTATATTTTCAAGCAACAGAAATAATGAAAAATATTTCTTCTAATTTTTCTTATGAACTGCAAACGGACCATTACCGAAAACATTCTAATACATACAGATAGCATATTAGTGTAAAACTGATTTCTTTTTTTGAAGCAAATCATTTTTTTTTTTGTATCTATATTTTAACTTGATTAGCAAACAACTAAAGTGAAAATTGCCTCGTAAACAAAGTGCAGACGTGTGTAGTCACCATTGAAAAAATATCAAAAATTGTGTCGAATGAAGAGGCCATCACTGAAACAAACGCTTATTTTTAGGGACTTCAGAAAACATATTACATATTTGGAAAGAATAGAAAAAAAATTTAAAAGCTGTGAAACGAATATATCGAACTAAATATCTTTTATTCAAAAAGTCACTGACTTTTCAAATTGCCCTCGTATTATTTTTCAAATTAATAAAGCTTTGAGAACGTTATGCACAATATAGACATGTATGCACTTCTACAACAATATTTTTTGCTTTCGAATTGATAAGAACAAACGATAATGACACTTTTACTTGAAAATATAAAAACCGGATCTTCTATGAAATCAAAAATAAAAAAAACGAAACGCAATAGTCTTTCGGTCAAAATGAATAATTAATTAAGTCAACTCAAATATACCTAAATTGTGTACACCACCTCATTCTTTCAATAGAACTGCGTATTTAGGCGAAACCCCAATTTTCCTAACGTACTGTAACAAAAATACACTTAGAATAAAGTTTCGATATACCAATATTTTTAAACAAGTAATTTTTAAGCAATAAACAAAACCGACTTCAGTTCTTATACAAAAAAAGAAATATATATATATACATATTTCATGATCCAGTGATCTGATCTAAACCATATTAGTATGGGTAACATACACAAAAAAAAACAAAAATAAATAAAAATGAATATATTCCGATGAACTGATAACCTGCCCCTTTTTTGGAAGTCGGTTGAAAAGGGCTTAAGTGTGCATTGGAGGTTGGTTTTCTGAAAGTTCTGAGTTCTTCTACATATAAGAAATATAGTGAGAATACACTATTCTGCTGAATTAACTGTACAAAACCACAAGTAAAATGTCAAAAAACTCCTTCTCATAAACGCCCGAGTCTGATACAATATTCTTTATTTTCACTTTTATTTCAACATAGTTTGATTAAAAGAAAATTACTGATAAGAAGAAAATATTTCACACAAACAGGGTTGAAATTAAAAAAAAATCCTGTCCGTATTTTCTTTGCAAGTCAAATATTAGTGGCGTAGTAGTCATAGTCAACTTATGTACAGTAGTCGAAAAAATTATAGCCTCACCAAATTTTGACAAGTTTTAAAATATTATTTTAGCTGTTATATAAATTTGGTTAGTTTTTATAGTTTATTCTTTAAAAACATTATTTGCCGAAATTTGATGCAAATCTTATACCATTTGTGTAAATACCCAAATATGTTTCTTTATCCTAATACAAAAAATAATGTGTTGAAAATTTTCAATAGAAGATTGCTGTATTGTACCAATCTTTTGACTACAAGAAAAAATTGTCGCAATTTTTTTTATTTTGTACCAATAGCCCAATATAAAAATGCACAAATCTGAACAAATGTACCAATCGGGTGGCACTGCCTTAAAAACAAAACAAAAAAAAATTAAACAAAAAAAATAAAATTCGACAAATTTTCGCAAAAATTTCGAGTTTTAGTTAGATTCTGAGTATGCAGTTTTGTAGCACATTGAATTTTGGTATAATAAAGTACAAGTTCCAAATGGCTAAAAATTACGGTTAATTTCTATGAATTTTTAGGAAAGCTCGAAATTTGTACGAAAGTTTGTTGAATTTTTTTAATAATGCACATAGTTGGAAACTTGGATTTACACGGATAAAGAATGAACTACATTTTTATACAAAAAAAACTAACCAAAATTAAGTAACAACAAAAATAAAACTAGGCAACAAATGGTTCGGCTATAATTTTTTGGCCACTGTTTGTATTGTTTTATACATTTAATAGCTCTTTTGACAGAAAGCACTTGTTCGAGTCCTAAGGCGCGAAATTTTTTTTCATTTTTTTTAATTGTTTTTTTTTAGCTTAATTTTCTTTTGATTTTTAGATTTTGTTATTTTAAAAAGAAAAATGTATTTAACTAAACTTTTTAATTTAATTAAACTTTTAAGAAGAAAATTTTCGAATTTACTTTATTTTAGTTCATTTATTTTTTTAATATAGTTTTTAGATTTTAAATTTTAGAAAAGAAAATATATTTTCTTTTTATTAAGAACAATTTTCTTTGCATTTAATTTTTTTGAAATTATTTTATATTTTTTTTTATTAAATTCAATTTAAAATTTTAGTTTTTATTTTTTTTTTTTAAGAAAAACCAACTATTTTTTTTTTTTTTAGAAAAATGATTGCTAAAAATTTAATATATATACTGGAAACCATGTATTTTCAATTGGTCTTCTTCCTGTATCAAAATATGAGTTTTCACAAAAAGTGGACTTAGGAAATTTTCGCGCTGAGCTAGCGATATATTCAGGTAAATACATGTGTACGTATATGTGTAATAATTCATCCACACACCATATTTACTTAGGCTTTTGTTATTCAAAACCAACACCAACATCACTTCATAGAGATAAGTTTCCGAGTCTCAGATTTCGATACCCTACAATCTGTCATAATTTTCAATGTGCAGTCCTACATTCACTTAAACAACTGCACTCAAGTCGATGCTTTAGTCAAGTTTTAATCGGGAATTAGGCAACATTAATTTCGCTGTATTAGAAACAAAAATAAATTTCAATTTATTCGAATAAAAGTTGAGCGGTGGCCAGAATTTTGTGGAAGAATGTTGTTGAAAATACATTTTCTTTTACTAATTTTTACAATGGCTACTATTGTGCTAGTAGTAGAAACGCGTGGAGGTCAACATCGCCACAGTTCGATAGAATCTTCCGCTTATAGCCGCAATCAAAAGAAACATGGCTCGCCAAGTAGCAACAGCATACGCCGTAAAGTCGTGAATGGCTCCGCCGTCCATACCAACTTCATAAAGGCAATAACTTCAGGACATAAAGTTAACGAAAAGTTGGCAAAATTTCGATCGCGGCATCGAAGCAGTCACAGAAGTCGAAGTAGTCATAGTAGTAGCCGTAGTAGCAGTCACAGCAGCTCTAGTTGGCCTAAAAGCTCTAACGGCCACAGCATCTTCAGTAGCTCCAGCCGCCACCACAGTTACTCGCACGCCGATACACCGCATACAAGCTACCACAGTTATAGCCAATCCCACACACAGCCGCACCGCCCCAATGCGCAGACTCACAAGAACACCTGGAATTTGCATGGATCCAGTGCAGCGGCTGACCACAATACACATGGTACAAATTCTCCCATATCCCACACTTGGGGTGGTCATCAGTTGCCACCAGGCCATATCTACGTTGCGCAACCTTCTGGTATTCCTTCGAGTGCGGTTTACTACGCGCAACCTCCGACGTATAGCAGTCGTAAAAATGGTAAGAAAGAGGAAAAAAATACGATTACAAATAAAAATGCAATGCACCTTTTTTAAATTTCCTTTAAGATGCCGACGATTTTATAAATGGTTACCTAATCGGGCATAGTCTTTCCCAACAAAATCGCCATTCCCATCACCATTACTATCATCATCGTTCTCAAAGTCCACAGCCAGCCGGCAGCAATGACTTCACAGATGCGAAATCCGTTTCAGAAAGCAACAAAAATAAAACTGTCACCGATACAAATAAAATCAACAACACAAATCAAACTCACTACTGGCCTACAGATGTTCAAGTACTCTTGGCTCCCTTGAACAATTCACTACTCCCTGAGAATATCCATCCAATGCACCAAGATGCCATATTCAAGAGCCCACCAATTCATATCGCTCAGACGCTTACAGCAAATAACTTAACGTTTGAGCTACCAGCGGCCACTACAGCGTTGCCAGATGTATCACCAGCCAATGGCATAATCTGTATGCCTTGGCTATTTAACGAAACCGATCCCACTCATCCGGAACGTATTGTAACTATTGAGAAAACAGTTTGTTTCCCAGCTCCATCACCACCACCGCCGCCGACAACAACACCTTCATCATCATCGTCCACGACTACAACAACAACGGAAGCTTCAGTAGATGAGTGCAGAGATGTAGTCTGTCCAAATTTCCTTGACTTCAACTCATTTACACTAGATACAAATTTGTGTTGCTTTACGGACAAAAAACTGTTGTCAAATATTGGACTTTTTGGATAATACGTTTTCAGACCGATTATGAAACTTTTAAGTATCCAAAAGGTAGTAGTTTATATCGATAAGTTAAAAAACTTGAATTTGAAATTTTTTTTTAATATTCGTATTTAAGATTGTCGCTAATAAAAATATGAGAATTGCTGGATTCGGAATCATATTCAGATTTATTTCAAAAATATGCAAAATTTGCACTTTCAGGATTATAAACCGATCAAAAAAATTAATTAAAAAAGTTTCATTTCCGTAGCGCCGCACAGGGGTACTCATTATTTTCTTCTTTGTTTTGAGCTTTCATGAACTGACAATTAAGACTAAGTTCGCGGTACAATATTGACAAGGCTTGGAAAAACCCCTTATCTAATGTAGAGTTACGAAAAACTCCGAAAATGTCAAATAAATAAAATACGTATAATCCAGAGAATTTTTGAAAAAATTGGTGAAATTAGGAAGTGCTACGGAAAAGTACGGAAAGATCACGAAAAATCAAAAAAACACTAAAAATCATAAAAAGTCGCAAAAGTCTCAAACCGTGGCAGGAAAAAACAGAAAATTTTAGCGGAAGAATACAGACATCTAAAAAAATTCTAGAAAGTACCGAAAAATAAAACACGTAAAATCCAAAATGTCTCGGAAAAACACGACGAATAACGAGAAAACACATAGTCTTTCAAAGTTCCGAAAGAAAAAAAAATAAATCGGAATATTTAAACAAATATACCTACAAATATAATTCAGAAATATACAGTCAGCGTCAAAAATATGAACACACTGAAGTTTTGACGATTTTCTTCATATTTATTTTCTATAAATTTTTTTTTTTTATAAAAATATAACTGATTTTTCCAATATCAATATCATATAGAACTCGGGAAAATTCAAGAAATACCAAATAATTTCCATACAAATTTTCAACTTTTCAATTCGATTTTTTAGAGAGTATCTACGCAGTTTTGTAGCCCATTAAATTTTAGCAAATTAAAGTGAAAATTTTAAGTCTCTAAAAATTACCGTTGATTTTTGAGATTTTTTTTTTTTGTTAAGGGTGTTTCGCGTTTTCTTCAAAATAACGCATGAACAAATATGAAAGAAAATGCCATAGTTGCCAACTTGGTGCTTTAAGCACTAGATTTAGTGCTTTTTGAAAATTAAAACGCAAAAAAAAAAAATTTAATGCTTAGTGCCTTTTTAGTGCTTAACCTTACATGTGTAAAGCTGTGGCAGCAATGAATTTACCAGAAGCTACAAATTTAAATGCATTAAAATACAACCATGATTGATAAAAAGCTGAAGTCGCGAACCAACCCAACTTGTTAAATTGCATTCGCGTTGAAAATGCTTTTACGCAGGTAAGTTAAGTATTTCTTTTTTTCTTATCTAATTATTTGTACAAATTTTGTTTTTTTTTTACCTCCTGAGTATGGCAACTCTCTTAAAGCACCTCAAAAAACACTATTCAGTTTGACACTTTAACTTGTGTATAATTTAATGAAATTCGAAACAGGTGGCAACCTTTTAAAAAATATTTTCAAACTTCGAGCGTATTAAACATTTTTTCGTCTGGCATCCCTGGCACTCATATTGTGGTATATATATTCCAATTACATAATTCTCTTAATTCAAGTAATATTTGAATTTTCAAATAGGGTGCAACCCTCCAACATATTTACTCCAGCTTTAGAGAAAGTCGATATTTTGCATACTTTCCAAAAACCTTTAAAACAATATTAACTGGCACCCAAACTCATAAAAAGTAATGATGACCTTAAATGCTTTATAATAGAAATTTTGTATGAAAATCTTTTTTTACCTTCCTTTTATTAACTCGGGATGTAATATTGATGCGCCTAAAAGATGCAGCGATTTCTATTCTCAAGTTACATACCTGATGACAGTACGAATGGTAATTATAATAGGGAGGTTTTAGTTTTTTAAACTATAATTTTATTATGAATGGGGTCATACGAGTTTTGGACGGGAGTAGCAACACAAAAATACTCTTCGAGGCGCAGTGAAGCACGCCGCGTATCTGCTAGTGTAATATCTACAGATTCTCGTATATATGCATGTCAGATTTTCAAATCAAATTTTCAACATTTAATTTTCGTAATGCAATTTATTTATTACTATGATGAAAATTAAATTACGGGCTTTATGTGATTTGAATGACTTTACAATTTATTCCTGCCCACCGGGTTGTCGTAATGAGCAGCACGCAAACGTGACCTGGCGACTTCTTAGCGTTACAAAACCTTGCTGACGATCCTCCAAAAACACACATTTGCCGGACATGTACTATTTTATCTGTCATTTGTCAGCCTGATATGTAAATTGAGCTATTAACTTATTGTAGCATTTCCAGCGGGCACAGATACTCATCTAATTCCATAAAATTTGCGCCAAGTGGCAAGTATGTATGTCCATACATTCATATGCGTGTCACATTTACAGCTTTAAATTAGTTTACGCTCTTGTTGTTCAAAAACAATAATAACTTTTAGATTGTTCTTAATAGATACATATAAGGTGCCTTGCGAGTTCAAGATGTCAACGCGCTACACACAGTCGTTGATTTTTGAAAAAAAAAAAGTTAGTGAAAAAAATAATGACCCAGCTGTAGCTCAAATTCTTCAGTATACGATTTCAGTTTTATCATTTCTTCAATCAAGTAATCACTGTAGTCAAGCTTGAAGCGTCGCTCTGTTAGGTACACAGCAGCGGCAGATGGACAATTTTACTTTTGCTGCATTCAAACAAAAGGAAATTCCTATTTATTTAAATAGAGAAAGTGAATGAAAATGTCGCTTAAAATAATTGGACTTTTAGTAATTTTTGCACTCGCCACTATTGTGCTAGTGGCAGAAGCGCGCGGTGGCCGAGGACGCGGTGGTTCATTCGGCACTACATTTTATAGACGCAGTCATAAGAAGCACAGCTCCTCAAGTGGGACCAGCTCGCGCCGCAAAGTCGTCAGTGGCTCACCAGTACATACCTCATACACGAAGGCACTGATTGCTGGTGGTCACAACACCGATCTTAAGTTGGGCAGCAGTCACAAAAGTTTTAGTAGTCACAGTAGCAGCAGCAGCAGCAGCAGCAGCAGCAGTCACATAAGACACCCATACCGGGATGCATCGCATACAAACTATCACAGCTTTAGTCAATTTTACACACAGCCTCGCTCGAGTAGATACGGGTCGAGTGCAGCTCACCACTATAATACGCTGAGTGCCAATTCTCACCTGTCGCACACTTGGGGTGGCCATCAGTTGCCGCCAGGACATGTATACGTTGCGCAACCGGCGCGCATGCCGCCCAATTCGGTTTACTATGCACAACCGCCGCGGTATCGGAGCAGCGCTGATGGTAAATATGAGCAGAAAAAAAATTTAAAATAAACTCACATTAAATTTCTTTCTTTCTCCTTCAATTAAAGATGCAGCGGACTTCGTACTAGGCTACCTTGTTGGTCGAAGTCTTACACATCGTAATCATCATCAGCATTACTATCAGCACTATCAGGAGCAACAACCCACCAACGGTCAAACTGTAAACACAAAAGTTAACTTAGAAAACAATACGGCAACAACAAGTGACTCCGCTTCAAATGAAAACAACAGCAACACAATAAATCAGACTCACTACTGGCCTACAGACTTTGCTGTGTCATTGGCGCCTTTGAACGAGTCGCTGCTTGCGGAAGACATCACCTCATCACCCCGGGAAGCCGTATTCAAAAGCCCACCAATTCACATCGCTCGCTCGCTTAAAGTGGATAACTTAACATTTGAACTGCCAACAGTCACTGCAGCGCCGCCAGATATGCCGCCCACAGGTGGCATAATCTGCATGCCTTGGCTATTTAATGAAACCGATCCCATTCAGCCGGCGAATATTGTCACAATTGAGAAGACAATTTGCTTCCCAGCACCATCACCGCCGCCGCCATCAGCACCACAAACTACACCGCAATCATCCACGGATCCGATTGCTGGAGATATTGCAGTTCGAATCCTACAATAACAACAACTTAAATTACGGCAGCGAAGGGCAGATACATATGTATGCTGCGTTTAAGTTTTAGAAAATGTTCATGGTTTTCAACTCTATAAAGTATTTTTCCACATTTTTACATTACTTATTAACTTTTGTACAATTTGTATTTCCTTGCTGAGTGCAAACATATATTAAAATCAAACTTCGAAAATGTATTCCTAGGTGCTTGATTTATATTTTTAAATAAGGACAGCTATAGATTGGCGTTTACACATATGTTAGTGTTTGGCCGAGCTTCTCCTCCGATTGGTGGCACGCGCGGAGGACGCAGGCGGACGCAGCTAAAATTTGTTTGTTTAATAGATTAGCGTCTGTAGAGTAGTTTTATATCGATAACCTTTGACCTCTCGGCGCCGCAAGGTACTAGAAAGGACTAGGAAACATGATATAAACATTTTGTCTAGCAAGCCTTGTGTGCTATTGAACTTGACTTTAAAGATATAAGCAAGTCCAGCTACAACCAATCATTCAACTACCGCTGTTAAGTCTCTTAAATTTTTATTCAAATTTTTACTCAAAAATACGATTCATATAACACCGACTTTCTGCGTTCCTTGAATCCTATAAAACGGCATTTTTGCAGAAAAAAATCCCTTGGTTTCGAAACATATAGAATCTCGAACTTTCTTTCACCCTCAGACCACTGTGCAGCGTTATAGTATGCTACCAATAGTCGTTTACGGAACTGCCTTTATGTTTGATTAGGTTAAATGATTACCATGGTTATGGCTATGGAAAAGCACCACTAATTGGGCCTTTGCAGGGCAATTCTATCTAAAATAATAAAAAGTTTTTCGTAAGACAAATGAAAGCTAGTTGGTAAAATAATTCGAAAGACTTTTGTTATTCTAGCATAAAAGTCTTAGAAAAAAAGCCATCTCACTCGTGGTGAAAAGCTCTTTCGTTAGCCGCAGTAACCGAGTGTGCTGGTAGCGCTGGTGTGCCATTCGGGAGATACGGGTTCGAGTCCTCGGGTAGCGGATTTTTTATTCTTTTTCTTATTTTGTATTTAATCTTCTTTAAGTAGATATTATATTTCAATGTCATAAAAAGAAAATGTCTCGTACATATTTTTAATTTCATTTAATCTTTAGAAACTATTTTTTTTTTTTTAATTTTCTGTTTAGATTTTATTGTTTTAGGCAAAAAAAAAATCTTTTTTTAATTTCATGTAATTACTAGTAAAGTGTGTTGTTTCTTTCCTTAATAGGATTTTCCTTTAAACTTCAGATTTTTTATTATTTTCATTAAATTCTTAGAAACACTTATTTTTTTAAGGGCTAAGCGATTAATTCATTGTTCAAAATAGTAATTAATCATAAAGTAAATAACACAATTATTCGAATAATTGAAAATCATGTTTACTCAAAAGTTCAGTTACTAGACTAATCAAGATTTTTGATTAACCAAAAACAAAAATGTTTTAGTAATTTGCTTTATGATTAATCAACATTATGAGTAAAATGAGTAATCAAAATTTCAAAGTACTTTTTACACATAAAGTAGTTGAACTTCCTTGATACTTTGAAAGCAACGTTTTTGATTTTTTTGATAACGTTTAACGAGCAAAATTAATTTTTTGAGTAATCATATTTCAACTAACTCGAATAATCATCGTTTTGAGTAATCAAAATCTTGATTACTCGAGTAATTGATTAACCGAATAACTGATTAACCAACTTGCTACTGTAATAGAATAATCGCACAGCGCTAATTTTTTTAATTGATTTTTTTTTTTTAGTTTAAATTTCTTTAAATTTTTAGATGTTACTGTTTTAAAAAGAAAAATACTTGTTAATTTCACTACATTTTTAATTACATACTTAATTTTTTTATTTTATTTAATTTTTTTGTAGTTTAATTGTCTTTGATTTTTGATTATTGTATCTTTGGATTATGTATTATAAAGAAAAGTATTTTTTTTTCGTTTCCTTAAGGTAATTTTTTAGAATTCATATTCTTTTTTCATTTTTTATTTTTTTTTAATTGCATTTTCTTTTAATGTTCTGATTTTATGGTTTTAGCAAGAATATTTTTTTAATGATTACTTTTTTTAGATTTATTATTTTATGAAGAAAAGATTTTTAAATTTCTTCTTTTTACATCTGCTTTTAATTTTTTAGATTTATTTTTCTCTTTTTTAATTAATTTCATTTTAATTCTTAGATTTTACTGTTGTATAAAGAAAAAAATATATATTTTTCAATTAAATTAAATTTGTAGAAATCTTATAGCTAAAAGACAAACAGAATAACGCTGAGTCCTCCTCGTCAGCAGATATTGCAATTAATCTTTCAAAAGAAAGTGAAGAGCTTTCGAGACAGTTGCCAGATTTGACAATTAAGAGGATGGGCAAGAAATTCACATTTGGTCCACCTCTCTAAAAACTTTGCCCTTCACATGGAAACCTCTTGGCTTAGGTTTGCAACCGCTTCTGTGCAATGAAGAACTTACGTCAGGCAGCGCGACGATAATTCGACGTCACGAGGCAGAAGTTACAATGGATGCCCAAGAAATTTCGCTTTACTCAATCCTTTATCATCCTTTAACAAGCAATTTCTTCGCCCAAATTCTTTGTTACGCTTCGACAAAAGCGCCAACCCAGTATTTGCTCATATTTACTTAAAGTATTTAGTGCACTTTAATTTCGTAAATATTTTAGTGCACGGTATTTTGTGATGTGCATAATATAAACTCAATTGAAATAAATTTTCTAACTAGGTGGCAACCCGCCTCAAAAATATTTTCACCAGTAAACTTTTTCAAACCTCTTTAATTTGAAACCCATTTTGTAATATTTAAATTATCTTTTCAATTTAGTTGAATAAAACTTTCCATACCGGTGGCAACACTCTTTCTTAAACCTATTTAGTTTGATACCCACTTTGTTATATTTAATCTATCTTATCAATTTAATTTAATTAAAATTTTCGGGAAGGTGGCAACCCTCCTCAAAAACATTTCTGACTGTAAAGCATCTTAAACCCCTTTCTTCTGACACCCATACTATAATATTGACTTTACTTTATCAATTTGAATACCCTGAAATTTTCAAACACACAAATCAAATTGCAAATAATAAAAGCTCTTATCACTGTTAAGTGGCTCTTTTCACTAATCTTTGTCTAATTCATGTCCAACCCTTATTAAAATAAGTAGTAAAGATTGCTAAAGTAAATCTTAAAGATTACACATGGATTTGAGAAAGATTAAGGGTGATGAGCCATTTAACAGTAGTAAGGCTTTTATTTTCTGAATTTTGAATTGTGTCGTTATTGCATAGGACCATCGATATATGTACGTATGTACATAAATTTAAAAGTATCCACCTGCAACCCTGGCAAAAAAAAAACAAGTAAATTTTATTTTACTTCTGCTGTGACAGTTGTACCAATCGGTGCTCACAGCTAAATTGATAGTACGTATATTCACTAAATCATTACCTATTTCACTCTACTTTTTTATACATATATGCATACACAAATACATATACAGGGTGGACCAAGTAAAACCTACCAACGTTATCTAAACACGTATAAATTCTTTTAATATTATTGTTGTTGTTTACTTTCTGCATGTTATAGATGATCTCTTTTTTTAACACATAATGGATATTTACAGCAAGACCACCAACAACGACTACAATACGCTATTCGATTTACACAATTAGCCACACAAATAGATTTTTACCAACGCTTTTATCAACTTACAATTTTGTATGTCCAGACACCATTTATAGCTATAACAACTTTGCTTTGCAAAGATCCTATAAAAAAAAGTCTAGATATCAACCTCGCCGGTAGGTATCATATTAAAGCTCTAGTGGTAGATGTCGCCTCGCCGCAAGTAGTTATATATTGTGGCTAAAATAATGCTCTTCGAACGCTACAGCGGAAATGGACGACGCGCCATTTCTTTAAATTAAATTAACTGGTGCTCGTATGAATGTATATACATATACCGGAGTCGATGGCCACAGTAGCCTGCACTCCTTCTTGTCATTAGGTTTAATATTTGTATATATTTTTCCTAATAAATAATAATAATAATATATACATATACATATGCATGTGTGTGCACCAATCCATGCGCATTTCCAAGCAAAACTGTAGATTGTGGGGCTCTAAGAATCTAAGGGCAACACACCAGCACCAGTTACACCCATCAAGATGCACTGTTTTGTGCGAAAAAGTTATCGGCCCATATTTCTTCGAGAAAGAAGATGAAACGACAGAAACAATTTCTGAAGCTTCTTACAGAACAATGATTGACAACTTTTTGCGGCCAACAGCAGAGCAGCATCCTAATTTGTGGTTCCAACTAGATGGAGCAACTTCGCACACTGCTAGGGAAACTGTGGACCTGCTGTGGTTGGTAGGTATGTCTTATTTGGCCCACCCTATACTATGTACGCTTATTTGTCTACATACTACATTATGTAGTCTACATATATCCATACGTACTTTAGTATGCTAAAAGTATAGCTGTATGTACCTATTTATGTAGAACATAGTATGTATGCTTAAACTGTATAATCGAAAAAGCAGCAAGTGCCTAAAAATAATAAAAACAGAATCTATGCATACATATATACATATTTGCGTATATTTACTACATATATGTATATGTATATGTACATATGTATGTATATATAAGAAATAAACAAAACACCCACAGCCAAACTGACCGGAGCGAGTCCAATATTCCGCTGTCCGCTAAAATCTCGCGTTTAGTTTACTTTCAAGCGTTGAACAGAGCGAACACAAATAATTCGAAATTTAATTCGCAGTCAAGCATACAAAGCGCGGTTCAAGCGTAGCTTTTTATAGACATAACAAACCACTTTATAGTATAAATATTCATAACAACAATAGCAACAAGTGCGTTGTATTGAGTAAGTGAACACAGTGAATAAAATGAACATAAAAAATATGTAACCAAGTTTATGGCGTTTGCATAAATTGCAAATACTACCGGTTTTTTTTGAGTATAAAATACCAAGAAATAATAATAAAATTAGTGATATGCGGCGCAAATAAATATTTCTATTTACATCAATATTACTCACTTACTTTTTACGAAACCTGCCAGAGGTCAAATATATTAAGATTGCATGGCAATGCACTAATTGTCAGTTGTCTCTAAAAAATAAATG